TATAATAGAAAATGGTCTAATTAAAAGAATTACTGGTAGATAATAATCATTGGACCAATACTTAACATTTAATGATAAAAACAGTCATATCAGGTCACAAATATATCGGAACAATAAATTAAAAACTACACAACAAATTGGCGACAAATTCAAATAATTTATTCAAATTTTAATTTAATTGTTAAAAAAAATTTATTGGAGTGCATAAACAATTAAATTAATATAAATTACAACATATATTTAGTCTCAAATAAATTATAAAAAACAAAATTTAAAAGATCCATCAAACATAACAATTTCTGCTAAGAATAGAAAAAAAAAGAATAACTACAATGTAGTATAAGTGGTGCTTTAATAATTTGTACTAAAATTTGATAAAGCCATCATATTATACATTTTATTAATGCAATTTATGTACTATGCTAACGGGCGATAAATAACAAATAGAAAAATAACTCAATTGGACAGTCTATTGATAGCAATAACTTTAGTATAATTGAGCGACAAATTTAAACCATTATCAGCAAATGGAAAATCTTATAAAAACGGTGACAAATTCATTCATCATTTTCAATTCGATGGACACATATTTGGGAAATATAATACTGACACTAAGTAGTAAGAGCAACAAATATAAATAAAAGAAAAGGTAATGAGCAAATTGACAACGTGGTATTGGTAAGCGTAAAGAACGATATTACCGCTCTGTCCTTTGTAATTATATAGACTCATCGAAGCAACGTTGTCTGTTTGTTGACATAGATATTATCTTACATTTAGCCGCTAAGTCATGTTCACTCATGCAATACACTCATTGTACCACACATTATTGACACTTTAATTATGTTCATCTGAATAATCACTACCTGTCTCGATTGACTTTAGTATTCATTTTCTTTCGTATTTGTCTATCGTATTCAAAGTAATCAATGAATTTGATGCCAATTTGTTGTTTAGTTTTAAATTTATTACTCTACATTTGCTATCTTAAAGTATATTAGTATTTGGATATGACTATTTTTATAATTAGATATTTCTAGTCCACACATTTTCACCCGCCTTAATATAAAAATAGTAATAATTTCCGAACTACTGATGTAAAGTTTTTTTTTTAACTTAAGTTTTAGAGATAACTAGTATTTAACAAAACCAAAAAAAAAAAATGTTTCTAAGATTATAATTTTAGGAGAAATTTATTGGTCAATTATAAATCAATCACTCTTTAAAGCTAATTGAATACAACATTATGTATAAACATTTTTTGTAATATTTCATAATAAAATTTTATTTAACAGGTTTATACATTTTTTTTGTTCATTATTTTGTAAAATATTATTTTTGTTTTTTAATTTTAAATTAAAAGTTATTACAGTGCATAAGCGATTAAATTAATTAAATTACAACATATATTTAGTCTCAAATAAAATTAAAAACATCCATTAAACATTTCAACAATTTCTGCTAAGAATAGAACAAAAAATAGAATAACTATAATGTAGAATAAGTGGTGCTTGAATAATTTGTACAAAAAATTGTCAAATTATACATTTTAAATGCAATTTATTTACAATACTAATGAACGATAAACAACGAATAACAAAATAATCTAAGAGGATTTGTTATTAATAATAATTTTAGTTTACTATTCACTATTAAACAGTGTATAGTAAAATTTGGAGCGATAAATTCAATGAATTATTTTCTGCAATGGAAAAAATATTTTAAAAACGGCAACAAATTCATTCATTATTAACAATTTGGCGGAAAGATATTTGAGAAAATTTATGCTGAAGGCAATCGAGCTACAAGAAGAGCGACAAATTCAAATAAAAGATTAGTGTATAAGCTAACTGGCAACGTAGTTTCATAAACATGAAGAATGTTTTTGACGCTCTGTCTTTTCAGACTTCTCAAAGCAACGTTGCCAGATTGCTATACCACAGCTATGCAAATGAGTGACTATTGAATAAGACAGGATCCCTCTATTTTACTATTTGCCCGCCAAGTTGCGTTCTCTCATACAGTATGTTAAATGTATTATACCTTTATGATACTTTTTCGACCGGTTGTTTCAATTTGTCGCTCTTATTTCTTAAATCGATTTACTTAAGTTTTATTTTCTCAAATATCTGTCTTCTATTCTAAATAATCAATGAAATTGTCTTCAATTTATTGTTTAGTTTTCAATATAGTACTCTAATGTATTTGTATATGTATATGTAATAGGTATGACTATTTTTATTATTAGACGTTTCTTTTATTTTTCCTTCTACCTATGTATAAAAATACTAATAATTTCCTAATTACTGGTCCAAAATTTATTATCGACCATTTATTTTTTAATTAAATATATTTAAATTTTCTTTTGTAATATTTCAAGCAATTTTTAATCTAGTTTTAAAAATTTATGAAGGCTAAAATTTTATAAATGGTAAGTACTTTTAANTTTAAAAATTTATGAAGGCTAAAATTTTATAAATGATAAGTACTTTTAAATTTTCAATTAAAAATTATCAGAATGCATAACCGATTTTATCATTTATATTATATTTTATATATAATTACAAATAAAATGTAAAAATACAATTNTCATTTATATTATATTTTATATATAATTACAAATAAAATGTTAAACTTCTATCAAACATTTCTGGTGAAAAAAAAAAAAGAATAAATTTAATGTAGTAAAAGTGATGCTTGAATAATTTGAACTAAAAATTGATTAAACTGACATAATTAACAGCTTATATTTTATAAATGTATTTATTTACAATACTAATGGGAATAAATAACAGATAGAAAAATAACCCAACCGGACGGTCTATTAATAACAATAATTTTAGTATATTTGAGCGACAAATTCAAACAACCGACGTCTTAAGCAGACTGAATAAATATTTTCAAAACGGCGATAAATTTCAATAAAATATAAGTTAAGAATATTGGCAGCGTGTGATATTCATTAGCTTTAAGAATGNTAAAATATAAGTTAAGAATATTGGCAGCGTGTGATATTCATAAGCTTTAAGAATGATTTCAACGCTCTGTCCCTTTTAAATATACAGTCTTATGAAAACAACGCTGCCAGTTACTTATGAACTTATTTCTAACCCGCGGGACATGAAACAACACAATTAAGTGACTATATAGGATCTTTGTTTTCTATTTTACCATTTGGCCGCCAAGTCACGTTTTCTCGTGCAACATTTTCATTGTATTATACATTTATTACACTTTAATTTTGTTAATGTGATTATTTGAATTTGTCGCTCTTACTGCTTGGCTCATTGACTTCAGTATTCATTTTCTTAAATATATGTCTATCGAAATTTAATTTAAAAAAATAAAATAAATTTTAAATTTAATACTCTACATATGCTCTCTTATAGTATTTTAGTATAGTTATGACTATATATATATATATAGTTATTATACAGTAATGAATCAAGACGTTTGATGTGATTTACTATGAGTATTTGGTTTCATTGGAAATAACCTGCCGTTATAATAAGTATTAATCCAGTGGAAAATTGGAGAATTTACGATCAAAGAATCCACCTTGTGAAGGACATAAAATAACATTAACTGTTACTATTTCTTCCAAGTAGCAGATCGTTATTGTATAGTGAGCCAAAAGTAAGGTTTTGATGTGATAATAATAAATAAAATTGGGTGTGTTGATTATTTAATTTGAATTTTTGAGCACTTGAATAAATTTAATTATCTTACTTTCGGTTACTATAATTCAGTTTGTTTAATATTATTGGGGTCGTGGAGTCCGAGGGTTTTAGAGAATGACAATACAATTTAATAAAAGGGTTATGATAAATATTGAGATTTAATGTGTGTATCAAATTTTATAAACTTTGGTGAATCATTTGAATAGTCTCACGTTTCAAAGAGCACGAGCTTATGTCGGCAACTATGAAACGTGTTAAGAAAATGCGTAGGTACGATCTTTGGTCAAGCACTACGAACGCATTTAATAATTCTCATGAAAAACTAGTTAATAAATTTAGTATGTGTAAAGATAAATTAATTACTATTGTTTTGTCATTTTCTTCTCGGATTAAATAATTCCAAATTATTGGAATTAAAATGTATCACCTACTTTATAATGTTTTTGCGGAATTGAAATGAATAAGACTGACAAGTTTTTCTTTCTGAATGTTTGAGAGACTGGTGGTCTATTGCTTCATTTGATTCTTGGCTTGAAGAGTAGAATGTCCTAATTTTATAGCTTTTTACGGCTTTTTATATGAAATCTATGATCTATATATGTCACCAAAATGTAAGAATTGACCACCAGGGCTCTCATCTTTATTGAAACGAAAATTATAAGCAGGGATAATATGTTACATTAGTTATGGTACATTTGATTTTTCTTAGGGATACTGTTACTTAATACATTATCTTTGTAGATTAATTTACAGTGTTTACATTTATGATACAGGTATTTATCTTAAACTGAACAAGTAAATACATTGTATTAATTACATTAGTGATTATGCTATGATATCAATTTAAGATAATTATTTTATTTTGTGATAAACATTGCGAATAATATTAAATTTGAGCGATGAACGGTATCACAACAATTGCTACTCAAGCAGTGACTTTTATAAATCACTGTTAGTTATTTTGTCTCAACATTATATGTAATCGACATTTAAAGGATTTATAAGCGAATTTATATTCATTTTTATTCATATTTCAAGTTTTTGTGGTAAAATGAAAAACGTATAAAAGATTTTAAACTTGACTTTGTTTAAAAGGTTTTTAATTCTACTTAAAATGGTAATATTAAAATTTCACTCTATTACCCAACCCAACTTTATTACCTTGAAAATCTCTAAAAAAAAGGTTAACATTTCTATATCAGTTTTATAAAGTGAAACTTTAAGATAAAAAATTCCTGATAAAGGTGTAGAGAAAGATATGTTGAAAATAGCAATAATCTATATGGGCTGTTATGTTAAAAAATAAAACTTTAAATAATATTGATTTAGTTTATAAATATATTTTATAATAGGATAAAATATTATAAAAGTATCAACATTTTTATAATTTTAAATTAACTATAATATAGTAACAATACAAATAAAAACAAGTAAATAAATAATATAATAGATTATATAAACTAAAGATCATTCGTTATACACAGCAGACAATTAGTTTGAGAACCTAAACAATCCAAATGAAATCCATGTCCACACCTAGTTGAAATTTAAAAATGTTTGCTTTAAACATTATGATATATATTATGTTTAATAAAAAAAAATGTTATACCTGAATACAGCAACAGAATTCATTATGATTTTTTGTTTGCACATAGAACATAGAACGGGGTTGGCTACACCTTTATTGGTAATATTGATAGCATTAACTAGTTTTTCGTGTAGATCAGTGTGAAGTATAGTTTTTGTTGATTGTAACATTTGTAATTCATAATTACATTTTTCAATCAATCCTTGATTCACAAAAAAAAATTATTTTTATACTAAGTAAATTACAGTGTACTTACAATTACTCGGAGAAAAAACTAACAAAATTTATCAAAGAAATCTAAATTTATCTATTATCTGTGATTGTAGTATAAATAGTATATAAATCATACAAATATCCTAAAAATGATTAGAATTAATTCAAATTATTCTAAAGATATTAAAAAATTTAGCATTATTAGAATTTCATGTAACAGACTTTTTATGAAAAAAACTATTGAAAATATAAAGAAGTATTTCAAATAAAATTTTTTCATTATAACATACATACATTTAATCATGTTAAACTCTCATATTAAAAAAATGTACACAAGGAGTTATAGGATGTCAACATTAAAAAATCAATTGTTTTTTTTTAATACAACATTCAAAGTTATTTTTTTAAAATATTACCAGTGAAAAAAGTGTTTTATAAAACAGATTTTGAGCTACAGCATTCGAAAGAATACTGAACTTTTAATGATACTCTTATATCAAAATATAAAGTAAATTCGTTTGAATTGTGTAACATATATAAACGTTTATTATTCGGAATCTATTAATGATGTAACTAGCTGTAATATTTGATAAAATTAGTGGTAAACTAAGGTGAATTCAATAAGAATCCATCTTGGGTATAACAAATGTAGTACTATAACATAAATACATTCCATTCTTGATTATGACTGGTAGACAGATATAAGATATCATTAATAATTATAATTAATTATCATATAATCAATGATTATATGCTTCTTATATATCTAATTCTTTAAAAAAAAGTTGAATTTTAAATCTTAAGTAGGCACTCCATTCCTTAAAATATGAGTAATAAACAAAAAAGTATTGACTATTTGACTTACCCATTATTAATTGTCTAAAGTTTTCTAATTTACCAGATGAGGAATTCAAAAGTAGGTGCATTTCTGTAGTTAAATTAAGATCACAATTACTTAATACTTTTCGTAAATGATCTATAAAATAAAAAAAAAAATCAATCATATATTTATTTTAATGTATTATTAACACAATGATAGATACTACTGGTATAGTAGTAATATGAAAATTTTTTTATGGTATAATAGCTATAGCAGTAATATTTTCAATAGTTCCAAATGATAAAGGAAATAGGACTGTCACATTACATTTAAATGATTACCAAAATTGTAAATGTTTTCAATGTGTTAAAAAATTACCATGTGACTGTAGACTCAGAAGACACTGGAGTATTGGTAACCATGTTGCTTTAGGGTCTAGAACAGCTGAACCTCTCTGTGTCAATGCTACTAAAACTTCGGTACATTCTTCAACAGCATTTTCCTACAAGTAACCATTAATATATATATATGTTTATAATATATATTATATATTTTTTCTATTAACTTTTTCAATAGCTGCCTGAAGTTTTTTAAAAAGTAAATCAAATGCTCCTTGAAAGTCTCCAAGTCTTTCTAATAATAGTGCAGTAGAATTATCTAATCCAGCTTTTTTGGTTGCCTTGATTACAAACAAAATTAAATAATAACTAAAATGAGTTAGTAATAATAATTTTTATAAGTACCGTTAAGGCCCTTGTTAAATGCAAAGAATTATTGGTTTTAATAAAATTTAAGACAGCCATAGGTTCATAAACGCACAATAGCTCTAAGTAATTAGTACTTGTTGAAACATCAGCATTGTGATATGGCCTATAATTGAAATAAATAAATAAAAAATTCATTAGAATTTCTTAAATTTACAATGAATAGCTTAAAATTAATTGCTCTTTTTCTTGTTGCATAATTTAATAATTAAATAACTTGACATCATATACCAATAACTTAAATTAAAATTATATATTCAAAAGAAAACAATATTACACAATTAAAAACAATGTCTTACTCACATAGCACTTTTTAAAAAAATATATCTTTGATTATCTGAATTTATTTTACATGATGCAGAAAATACCAAATGTGGATATAAAGATCCAAAAATTATTCCACATTTGACCGCATCAATGTCCATTAGCTCCTATAAACAAAATTTAAATAATTTAATATAAAAAATACATATAAGAAAATTTTGTATTGAAATTTTTCAAATAATAATTGGCTAGAATTTTATAAGAAAAATTTTAAACATTACTTTTTACTTTTAGGTGGAATTTAAACTAAAATTATTTTTGAATATTTTTAAATTATTTATAAAAAATTAAACTTACTTTTAGGTTATCCAATACTAATTGTTCAAACTGGTCTGGTTTGGAACTTATAAAAGTGAAAACTTGATGTTTTTTGGCATTATCTAATATATAATACCTAAATACTTCTTTGTTATCACCACACTCAGAACAAATTTCCCTACAGACACTAAAACTAAAAATTAAATAAATCACGTTAAATTAAATATTAAAATAGAATTGTTTTATTTTAAATAAAACCTAACAATTTTGCTTGCTCTCCAATTTTCAATAAATTTGAATCATCAATAAATGCGCCTGAGCGCATTAATTGAATAAATGCTAATTCTCTTTCTTCAATTGGTGTAGTTTGATCTAACGATAACAATGAACTTGTGATTTTTTCCAATATCAACTTATTTGGTTGAATAAAGCTCCCTTCTTCTTGCTGCCATTTTGTAACAAAAGCATAGACTAAACCTAACTGATTAGACTAAAAAAAAAATGTTATACATAAGAAATGATGTTTTTATAATAACGCTTTATTATTTAATTATTTTCATGGTATTTTTATTATAATTATTAGTTGAGAAGTTTCAAGATAACAATAATTGATAAATATTGGTCTAATAGTAGAGGCACAGAATGTAGGTAAATATTTTCATATGGTCTGTTTCAGATGAAGAATGCCATATAGAGATCTAAAAATTCCATATATTGAAATATTTTTCACATATAAAACATAAAAATTCATAAACAAAGAAATAAGCTAATTATTTTTATTAAAGATTTTTTTTTTGAATTTTAAAATAGAGCCATCTAAAGTTGTTTGTATTTATCATAGATTACATTGCACTTAAAGAAGTGGAAAGAACAACTGGATTCACATGCCTCAAGTGGTAAGATTAAGGGTCATAATATAAAAATTATGTTTTTATTTGGGCTTTAATTTACTATAAAAATATATTAATTTCATTAGTGAAAACACAGAGATCCAACACAATAATAAAGGTTTATGTATAAGTTTATGATCGTATTTTTTTGCATATTTGCACAACAAATGATTTTAAAAAGTGCAATACAATAATATTTGAAATTGTAATATAACAAAAATGTAGATCTAGCATTACCAATGGTAGGCTTAATTCTTTTAGTCACCCCAGAAATACCACTTCTTATAAGATTTAATACTATTTTAATAAAAGAACTTACTGTAGGGAATATAATATCAGTTAAAAAATGTATTACCTACTTTTAAGTTATTGTTGTTAGAAATAAGTGATAATAATATGCAGCAAATACGATGTTTTAATTGACTTGTAAATCGTTGATCAGAAAATGCCATTGAAAGCACATTCAAAAACTCAATTGTATTAAATTTTAAAAGAGTTCTGGAAAATATAGTAATTGATTAATATTTATAAGGCATTAAAATTAAAAAAATAATAGTATTAGGTGCTAAATCTAATGTATGTATTCTTTTTTCCTGAACTAACATAATTATTCTTTATAATACTAAGTGTTAACACAAATAGACCAACCTAAAAAAAGTGTGTATAACTTTTCTAGATTATTACAGAAAATATTTGAAAATAATAAAAAAAGTCCAAACATATTTAATTAAAATAAGATCTCATTGGAGATCAGAAAAAAAAGAGTTGTTCTTAAAAAATATTTTTCTTGTATAAGGTTTCATTGGAACATAGAAATGTTTAATTTTAATCGTAAAAACTAGCCATTATCTCATTGACAGATTTGCTAACATTATAAACAAATATGACATAAATTGTTTATCTAGTTCATAGCCATCTATGAAGCAACCATAAAATACATTCATGTTAAAAATTGTTTTGCATTTATCCAAAACAATTTTTAATTTGATTGTTAAGCTATTATCTAACATAGATTTAATTATGGTATTATTTTTATTTGGACTAGGCAACATTTTTAAAGGTTTAGATTGATTAGACAAATATAAATAGTTTAACATAATAACACTTAATTTTGTCTTGTTAGAGATGAGCAACAGAATGAATCAATACCAAATATCAAACAATATTGGTTGAGAAATTGAAAAAT